AGACAATTACTTACATGGACAGATAAGCAGGGGAGCTGTTTGGCGATGCATTACAAAACGTAGGAATGCCTCAATTCTTCTGAGTCAGTACCAAAAGGAGTAACAATTTTATCTCTAGCATCAAGTTTTCTGTTACTGCTGCAACGGGCTGTCACAGAAGCTAATCATTTCCCTGCATCTGTTCACAAATAAAGATCCTATATAGCCCGAGACAGTATGGGAAAAGGAGATCCCCCCAGAGTGCGGATACATCTCTCAGCAGATTATGTTTCAGGGCCTTATGATACAGCATCTAAAATGCATTTGATGACGCATCTTTAATCACATAAATGGAGTTTCATATCTATGTAGCTGACTTTAAAAAATTCAAAACATACAAATTGATCAAATTTGTCAATTATGATTTTAGTGAAAATCTTGAAAATATCTGCCTCAGCCCAATCCTGTGGTGGAAGACTCTAAAACTATTAGTTTGTTGATCACAATATTAGAAGGAGCACTGACTCATGAATTGTAGAAAGCAGGAATGGAAATATAAAGCACTCACATTTGGAAAATAAAAATGTATTTGCAGAATAATTTACAAATAATGAAACTAGAACTGTAGCACTGTTTCATGCATTTAATATTTTTTCTACCATAACCACTGAGAACGTTTTTTTTGTTTACCACAATCTTCACCAAAAACTGGCTTATCTTACTTTAAAGCAATCACTAAGAATAGGATCTCTGAAGTCTTTTAAAAAGGAATAACAAACAGCAAAGCCAATTAGATATGCAGTGAACTTTTCTTTTTCCCCCCATGGGGATAATTCTGCTGCAACAGATAAAATCAGAATTCCGAAATGTAAAGTCTCTGACTAACACCCATTTTTTATTACATCACTGCGTACAGTTTTAAGCATGGCACTCCCCTGGAATGGCGCATTAATAGTTAGATCCATCCCACTGGCTATGTCATGATATGATGCTTCAGCTTCCTTCTGCCCTGTGTACATTTCATGAGTTCATGTTGCAGAGACATTACGGTCTCCTTCCTGATGCATCTGCACACCAGAGCCTTCCATCCTAACGAAGCAGAACTGGAAGTCCTTTGAGGCGCGTGTGGAGAAAGAACAGTGACTTTGTATTGTTGCTCCACGGGCACATAGCTGCACAGCTCTTTTAGTTGGCTTACATGCTTTTGAAAACCACGCATTGGGTTCTTTCTACGTTACTGTTGTACTTTACTATTTGTAAAAAAAACCTCAGAAAAAAACAAAACCAAACCACCATTTCAGATCATTTAGACATTAGATAGATGAGAACACGCATTTTTTTCCTCCACTTTTCTGTGCCTCATATGGCTTTTTAAAACTTATCTAATGATGAAAAATTTTGATTATTCATAACTAGTCATCTGGCACTGAGCTCCACCTGCTGACAAGTCTTTGAAACATTGCAGAGCATGCATAGCAAGTCTCAGTTTTATCAGTGGTTCCAGTATAATGCTGCAGTATGCAAAATAGATCTATATAAAAACATTTCTATAGTGAGAAAAACATATAGTCTAAAATAGATATTCCTAAAACTAATGGGTTTGCACCTTAACAATATCTGGTTTTACTATGTAAGGAAAAGAACATATATTAAAATGGAATACAGATTTCACTGTATTATTGCTAAACAAAATTAATTACTATTTCATATTAACTAAATCTATTGCCAGGCTTAAGCACTCCCTGAAGATTTTCTATTCTGTAACAATTTCCAAGCCAATAATGAAGCTGAAATTTAAAGTCTTACTATGAAATGGAAGCTACCATCATTGAACTTAATTACCCGAGTAAATGTTTAACTGGCATTGCAATATTCTAAATATACCTGATGCTTTTATTTCTAATCAGTTCATTAGACATACAGAAGTTTTATTCTTGTTGTTTTCTTTGTTCTAATTATAGTGAACTACATTGTTCTGTTGATCATATTAGTAGCAAGAATAGCATATGTATCTTAGGATAAATGACAGGCCATATTTTCACCGGCTGAACATCTAAACACTGAGAAGTTAGTTCAAGCTTCCAGTTATTGGTTGATTTTTGTAAAGTGACATAATATGTAACAATTTGGATGCTACCATATTTGGCAAAAGACCAGCTGTTTACATGGAATAACGAGCTTTTTCTTAGTATCTATCTCCTTACTTTAATATAAGTAGAGAACAAAAAGTTAACTATGATTCTCCTGATTACATAGTGCACAGTAACATAACCGCATAACTCTAAGGTGCTCAAAGACATTCTTTTAAACTTGTAGCACCTTCAGCATTAAAACTATCTCTGACTTATACGGTTATCTCAGTAGAAAAGTAAAAATGCTAGAAGCAAGAAAATGTGTTTTACTTTTCCACATATTATGTCAAAATTGTTAAATGCAATGTTCGGGAATGGTAAAAAATAGATATTTTTTTTAACTCCTTGCTATGCTTTCATGCTTGAACAAAACAAAATCATCCAGCAATTTCCCTTTTTCTTTAAATGTGTACATGAACACCAATACATAGCTAACATTGTACAAACAATAAAATATATTGACCAAACTAAACCATACTGAAGACACTAACAAAATATGAAACTTCCTACAGTTAACAGATGCAAAAAAGAACAGGGAAATGAAGTTAGAACACATGTAACATGACCCTGTCTGTAAAAACACATCAAACAGCATTTCAGAATTTCATTCCTTGTTAGCATTCTATCATAGTGTTACCTAACATAAGAGATGGAAAACAAAACAATTTGTGAACTATTCCACTATGAAATTGGCTGTATTTATGATACCACATAAATAATTACAGAGACATGAAACTTTATAAAATTGTTTTGTATATCATGTTTTTAATTTTAAATTACCAAATAAAATCCACTTGTGACTGAATACATGAAAATTTACTTCATATGCATGCTCACAACACAAGCCAATTATGATTTTGTCATTCTTAGGAAAAGAATTTGTAAGACAAGTGTTTACAATGAATTTCTGAAGGGGAATAAATAACCACATTCAAATGCAGTATCAGACAACATTTAGATGAACTGCTTTTAGATAAAGAGGAGAAAACTAAATGGATTTATTGCTGAAGAAACAACGACCCTCTTGAATGATACCAGGATGAGCAATCAGCAGCAAGAACACTTCATTTCTGATCATTTAGCAGCTGTATAATTTTAAGGAGTTTTACTAAAAAAAAATAATCCCTCTATAAAAAGCGTCAGGATGCTTATTTATACAAACAGCCCATCAGTGTACCGTTTTTTCAACTTCAGATACAGTCAAGACTGCCCTCTCAAGGTACAGCAATTTGAAAAATGTTTAATTTAGACTGCAGTTCTATCTACCACTTTTTAGTCAATTTTACTAGGACAGGATATCAACCTAATAGTTGAACAAAATTTAAATGGTATTTTCCTGTCTTAAATAACTTATTCAAGTGAAATAACCCAGCATTTAAGATGTATTCTGTTATTTTTTATGGTGTATATGAATCATAAGACTATATCCTCTGATGCCAAAATACTAACATTTTTCTTACTCTTGGCAAATTTGACATATGCAAAAATGCATTTCTTGCATCATTCTAGAAATTTTGGTATGTATACCCTCCAGAAAAAAAAAAATCATCAATAACTTTTATTAAAAAAAATGTAGAGGTCAGAATTCTTCACCGTGTATTGTCCCTATATGCAAGGAATATTTTCTCTCGCCCATTGAAACAGAGATTTGGACAGCAGAAGAAAAAGTCTAATAATCTTGAACTGAGGTGGAACAATACCATTCTCTTGATTAGACTCATGATCTCAACTAACCCTTACAGACAATATTCACTAGCACTACTGCAGGATATTACATGAAATGACTAACAAGATAGCCTACTCTAAAAAGATTTCAAGCTTCCTAATCATTCACAATCATTATCCTGATCCTTCCTTTTTCCTTCTCCATCTTTTTGTGCTTTAGCAATTCTTCCTAGACCATGACAAGCATACAAGCTTTGTAAAATAATGTTTTGTACCAGGAAAAAAGGCAATTACCATCTAGTGCCTTGTAAACATTAAACATTAGAAGTGGAAGCAACAGAATACTGACAATTAAATGTAACTGTAGAATGGGAATGGAAGAAAAAACAAACTTGGCTCCACAAATAGAGAAAACAAAAGCACTCCTCTCAAATACAACCATTTCATTATCATTTCACTGAGTTACTGCTCTCTGGGTCAAAAGAAATGGCAGCCTAAACCTCTAAAGAGAACAAGTCACAAGCATCTCATATATGTCAAACCTAATCCATAAAAGCAAACAGTACTACTTCTCCCTTTAGTAAACAGGAAATGTTTGTTTGCTTTTTCATGGGGCCTACTATCTCTACACATAGCTGCATACAACTGAAAAAAGGAAGTCACACAAAATAGTAGCAAATTACTTATTTAAGTTACATGGAGTCTCATCATCACACAGAAAGGGTTTTTTTGATTACCAAGAGGACTTTTAAAAATAAGTTGCAAAGAAACCAGTGTTAGTCTCTGTTTAAAGAGTAATTACAGTACAGAAAATTCAGTTCTCAATTACACAATGTGTACAGTGATTCTAACAGCTTTTACAGTTTTCTGTCTACAACAGTGAAGGTATTTCAACCCAGGCAATGAAATTACCAATAGCTACTCAGTCATGTTTACTAAATCTATTTCAGGATTTACACTTTTGATTATTAAATAGTCTAATGAGAAACTAACATCAAGTGTACAGAAGACCAAACCAAGTCCACAGACATACAGACAGTGATCCAAGTTACTGCAACTTTAAAAAAATCACACACCTAAACTGTTTTTCTGAACTAGTCTCCACAAATGCAAAGTGAAGTTTATTCACTTCAGTCATCCCTGTGAATAGGTTGAGACTCTGATCGCAGGACTAATGTACAATAGCAAGGCCGTATAAGTCACTAAAACAGATGTAAAACTTACCATAGAAGTCACTGATCTGGCATCTTCCTCATAATTCACTACAGGTGGTGGCTCTTTTCCATCATTCTCTTGAACCTTTTGTTCCAGTAGTTCTTTCTGGGCTGCAAATTTTGCCTCAGAGCATCTTAATTGCTGAACAGTTTGCTTAAGTTCTTCGAGCGCTTGCTTTTGGCTCAGCAAGAGTACAATACTGCAGAGAAAAATAATAAACAATCTAAAATTACACATAATTTAAAATACATATTTTGTTTCATAAAAGATTTTTTTAAAAAGTATTAAAACTCCTCAACAGAATTATTTGTTCAAAAGCATGAATACATACACAATTCTAGAAAATTTTCAAAGCTACAAGACAATGCAAACAAACACCTACTTTGTCACTCTCTTCTCTCGATCTATCACAAAAAATGTTGAAATAGTAGATGATACTATTTTCGTCCACTTATCACTGAATATATAAACACTAAAGTTCCCTATCCTTTAGAGAAGAAATGCATTTTTAGATCATGATTTCCAGTGATGAGAAATCTGCCACAATCCACATAGTTGTTGGAATAATAATTTGCACTATTAAACTCACCTTACAAACAGTATAAATTTGTCTAGCATGAAGCTAGAAATATCTGTTGTCTCTTCTGGACTGAAAGATCCTCTACTGCATAAGTATTTCTGGCCTGCAGTCTAACATTTTTCTTATGAAGCTAAAAAAACTGAATTCTAAACTGAAAACTAGAAGCAATTTTTGCTTGTCTCCTGCATGTTTTTATGGCTCTTCTCTGAATAAGACTAAATACTCCAAGACAGACGTAATTCATTCATTAATGAAGGACAAGCAGATTACTTAGAACATCTATAGGTACCTAGATGACTCTATTACACCTAAAAACTGCCAAAACCAAAGATGGACAGAAGCTGCGTAAAAGACAGAACCATCCACAGTACAACATCTTAAAAAAACAAACCTTAAAAGCACCCAACTGGAACCCAGGGACATGTAGTCTATAAACAGATGAAAAATTCTCACAGTCTGCAAGAACAGATAAGCAAGGTAGAAAGACCAGAACTATGGAAAATGAAGATAGTGTAAAGAATAATCACAATACTCTGTCACTCTGTATCTTCCAAATAATCCCTGGAAGACAAGCCCTCTTGATGTTGAGATTGTTCCTTCATAAATTGATGTGGAGCCAAATCACTATTCAAATAAGTTCCAAAGTGATAAGGGAACCATCTGTCATAAAATCTTCATTGGCAGGAAAAGACAAAAAGCATATCCCTACAGATGAGCATTGAACTAAGCCACCAAAGAACAAAACTCCGTACAAATAGCAGAATGATCATTCATGTAGAAAGGGTAAGTATGATGAATGAAGGCACCATTAGAGGACCTGAAACCGAGGTTTGGCATGAGACTGCACACATTCTTTCATCTGGTCCTCATTATGAAGAAAAAAAGAGATCATCCTGTGAAAACGATGGCCTTCCATCATCAGCAGGGCTTTGGTGAATACGCATTGGCTAGAATAGTAACATCCAAAACACTGAATGGTTTCAATTCATCACAACCCAAAGATAACAAGACATACCCTGCAAGTTAGAAGTCATGAGCTATTCTCTTTCCAAAACTGGGAAAGAGATAGATTCTCGTCTAATTCGTTTGCCCAAATTCAACACAGAATACTCCCCATTCCATCTACGCATGGGGAACTAGAACCTGTAAAATTATTTGCCCGTGGCTTTCATGAGGGCAAACTTCATAGTCCTCATGGCTAGCCGGAGCTACTACCAACCTCACAGAGTGAGATCTTATGTGAAGAATCCTGGCAGGGCCAGAACAGAGCAACAGGTTGCGAAGTGGTAAAAAGGCAAACTGAATCAAACCCCAAATATTCAATATGCTACCACGTTGGAAGGGCAGATGGTATGCTTGACATACACATATAAAAATAATATATAATAAAATATAATTAAAACACTCTCTGGGTAGCAGGTGATACCATCCTTTGAAGGCAGAAAGGGATATTGGTGCCACAATAATAGCACCGATGCTGCTAAACACTGAGGAATAGATTAGAGGCCTAGAGATACACTTCTGCATATACTCTAATAAAAAGTGCAGTATGTGCAAAGATAAATTTGGAGCATTGGCAGAATTAGACACCAAGAAATGCTTTCAAACCCCAACTGAGACTACCACTGCAAAGTCCATAACAACTCAGAACTTGTGGTACTGAAGCTGTGTCAGAAAGAAGTGGGGAGACAGCAGAAGTCCAGACTGATTCAAGTAACGAGACAGAAAACAGGATGTTGCAGACTTTTACCACCATTTTGCCCAGATAAAGCAGACACGGAAGGGTGAAACTCAGAACCTTGGGTGAGGCTCAGCAGTAACAAAGGATCTAGAGCTCTTGCATTTGGAGTGGACCTCCTTACTTACTTTCCTGATGACAGAGTTGCATTGTACCAACAGAATGACCTCTGGCTCAAGAGACAAGTTTTTGTTTATTGCTCAACTACATTTACCTTTCACCTTGCCCTGCAGTGCTAAGGCTAGTCCTGTATGCTATGACAGCAGTCAAGAACATGCAACAGTTGGATGAGTTCTAGGGACCGTAAGTATGTGCAAAAACATCCTGATCACTGTGCACTGCAGGTAAAAGGTGAAAACAGGGTCTGTTGGAGGAAGGCATGAGCAATGATAAATCAGACTCAGAACTGGAGTCATTTCAAGGAAACTTTTATCTTACAACTAGAAATCTAAGCCAAACGCCGTGCCTTTTTAATAAGACCTGCAGGTACTGGTGCAGTTTAAACTGAAATCATCTCAACACCACAAACACCCGCTACAGGATCAGTCAACAGAGCTTACCCACAGCAAGAAACACAGAGACAGTCTGAACTACTTTCAGAAAGAGACAACTGATAACAAATCAACACTAAGGTGGGGGCAAACACCACCAAACTCATCTAGTTAAAATACAGGGTTTTTTTTATCCTTTAAGTAACATGCAGCAAGAAGGGTAGGTCAAGAGCCAAAAAGTTGGAAAATATACTGTGAGTACATGTGAACTTCATCAAAGAAAGAAGAGGAAAATATTATATCAAAACATTAATATCATATATTTACATAAAGTTATAAAGTTTTGGATATGAATGAAATACTAGCCAACGTACCAAGAGACAAGATGCCTTCAACAAAGAGCTTCAAGACTTCTTCAGTGAATGAGAACAGGATTACCTGAGGAGTTGCATTCCATTCACTGATATTGTAAACTAGTATTTATAACCAGTTGAATAAGATTATGACTGATTGCAACAAGAATCAGAAAAAATAACTACAGGCAGAAGGCTTCTTTATCTGCTGCATTAACTTCAGTTTAGACTGAATCTTTGACATGAATATTTCTTCTAACAAAAGGTAGAAAAAAACCTAAAGATCTTGTCCAAGAATTACTCTTTATAATAATGTTTTATTTATGGCACTGTAAAACACTTATTAATCCTTATCCTTTGTTATTTACTATACAGTACTACAGGGTATCAGATCTACATTCAGCTTTGTAAAGAAAATGCAACAAAGAATGAATTTAACCCTATGAGTTCCAAACATATTATTGCATAAGAAAGAGTACATGTCTTGCACACGGCTCTGACTCCTTCACAAAATTGTATCTACCCAACGAACTCAGTCAGAGAGGCTATCTGAACTGACTCCTCTTCTTTCACCAAGCTGAAGTTAAAATACTAACCTAAGGTCCAGTTCTTGAGCCATCCCAACACTATGACAATTATATTAAACTAATGGAGATGCTCAATTCATCGATGAATTGGGATCTGCAGTGGGTAAGAGTTATTTTAGAGACAGGAAACAAACTTATTGTTGTGTTTCACAACAATCACTTCTACAAAAGCAGAACCAAATTAGTGGAAGTTTTTTCTTATTTAAGTCTTAAAAATTGCATTAGAGATCCTTTTCCCTGAAACTATTATATTTTGAAATTCGATTTGCACTTACTCAGACTTCTTTTCACAAGTCTTAGATGACTCTTCTATTTTTTTCTCCAGTTCCAATACTAGCTCCTCTTTGCTTAAAAGGTTTTGCTGTGTCTGAATCAGTTCTTCTATTACTGTTTTTAACCTGTAAGACATAGATTTTAGAAATCCACATTGTGAATACATAAACTGTATATATTTGGGAACATAAGAAGATAAGAATAAACAGTTTTCACGGTGCTGGGAGCTAGTGGAGCTTCACAAAAATCTCCATTGCTTCATATTTTTGTAATAATCCAAATAGAAGGACAGTTTCAAAAGTGACAAAGAGTGCAGACCGTACAATAGCATTTCAGGTAAGGTGAAGAGGCTGAAGTTGAAGAATACAAAATAATTATTCTGGATCTTATGATACTCAATAACTGGACTGTCATTTAGAAGATTAATAAGAAGTATCTAGTCACATAATAGGAAGTTAATCTTTGTAATTCCTTGACCAAAAATCCTGTGGACAACAGATACTTGTACATACTGAAACTGACTGGACAAATTCATGAAAGAAAAACATGCCTAAGGCAAATATAAACTACCTTTAAGGCTATTATGAACAAATACTACTTCCGTCTCAAAACATTTCTGAGCTGAAAATTATGGAGGGGTGAGAGATCATTAGGAGGAAACAGCATTGCTTGATCATCCTTTTCTTGTTCTCCTCCCTAGACTTTTCCCCACTGGCTAATGTAAGAAAGAAGAAAGTTGGTTAGGTCAATCTTTGGTCTGACCTAATGCAGTTAAATTTTTTTTGCCCATAGTCCTAAATTTATACCAGAAAGTGAACACCTTAAAGGCAGTAACACTTAAAAGAGATATTTGATTCCTGTTCCAAAAATAATATCACACTATAAAATTTCTCTCTCAAATTCACAAAAGAGTTTAAAGTGGGTGAATATAAGATCCATAACAGGACACATTGGAAACTGTATTGCAAATGTATATATGTAGGCAAATATGAATTTTATCAGAATCCTTTAACAGAAAAGCAGCATTTCATCTCTCACTTAGGCTGATGTCTTAGTTCTAAACAATGGGATACATCAGAGAAAGATGTTATTTGTCTTTTTGAGCTATGGAAAGCAGAATCTTTGAAAACTTGTAGTACTTTACTGAAAAGGCAGATTCAGCATATATATTTTTCCTGTTACTGTACTTAAGTACATCTAGATGTACATTTACATAGTTTAAGCAGGAAAAATCTCAATTTAGTAATGATGCAGAATATACTATGAACAGAAACATGTTTAAAGGTAAGCGATGGGCTTTAATTATTAAAGGATCCTTTCATAAGAAAGATGAAGATGCTTCAGGACTAAGGAGGAGTCTGACAAAGGAGACTGAAAATTCATATTAGAAAGATTATTTAAGTATCTAGTAAGGAATAAATTTACAAAAAGTAATCAGATTGCACAGGAAAAAAGAGAGGATGATTAATGACCTTGAAAGGGAATTAATAAAATTCACAGATTCTGTCATGTTGAGAAAACACAGGGATTAGTATAATCTGAAGAAGACACTGCAATGTATTTACATGCTACAGCTCACTGCTATTACGACTCACTATGATTTTGGTTTTCAGAATAACCTTCAAGAAATAAGTATCATAATTTGATTAAGCAGACGAATTTTTAAAAAAACTTTAAAAAAACCCACAACACACCATTGATATCTTATTTTGATCAGTTTTGCTTTCTAAAGGAAAAAAAACCAACTTCTAATAAGTGAAACATGGACTGAAATACGGTAGAGAAAACAAAAATATCATCAGCCAATAAAATTCTGCATTTTCCACTTCAAAATGGCTATGATCAATATAAAAAAAAATTAAATGTACAATTAAAAGATGCAATCTCACAGGTGACTGCATTGGACGACTTTATGTCAAAAAGGCTGATAATACAATAAGAACATAATAACCTCAGCAGGAGATTTGTTCCCTAGTCACAAATGATTAAAGATGATTGGTAAAAGTAATAAAAAGATTTAACTAGGCAATATATTAACAAAATACATAGGTAGCTTTATCACCCTGACTAGCTAAAAGCTCCATGAAATTCAATACAACAGCTACAACAGTGTTAGTAAGTTAATGTATTTTAAATTTATAATAATGACAAAGAATTTACTTTGGAAAATGAAAGCAACCACAGAACAAGTGGAATAAATATATTCATGAAAATTTTCTGCATGGCAATTTAAATCACTGACTACATCACTGTACTCACTGGTTTCATCAAAAGATTTCAGTACTTTTCCTAGAGTACTGAATGTGGAAACACTTTTGGGAAGATGAACCAGTGTGTTCCCAAGAAGGATTCATAATGGATTTGAGGCATTGTACCGATTAACTGGCAAGGAGAGGAACACACATTGGAAGTGTTGGCAAGTTTTCAGGGAGACTCAGGAGGAATATTTTGTGCAAAGGAACAATAAAACTAGCATGGGAAAGTGACTATAGCGTGAAAATACTATTTTTAGAAACTGGACCTTAAAAATGAGGACAACAGCTATGCGATGATCTGAGTAAGCCTAGGTACAATGTATAACAGCATATCCAAAGGATGAAAGGTTTGAAAAGAAAGACTTACGTTATTTGTAAACTTTCTGCTGTTAGATTATTCCACATGATCTCATTCGCTTGAAGGTTTTCATTTTCTTCTAGTAAAGATATATCAAACTCTATTTCTTGTTCAACTACTCCTGATGACCTAATTTAGCAAATAAATGTTACATTTTCAAAATTAATGTGTCTTTTAGTAAATGACAAAGCAAATGATTATATTTTGAATTATTTCAATTACTAGAATATAGTTAAAATTATGTATGAAATAATAGCAACTGGATACATATTATTTTTCCTTTGAATAAAGAACATAGTCTTAAAAGCATAGCGGATGATAAAATGGCATACAATTCTTTGAATCAAGACCACAGTATAACCAAGGCTCTCAAGGGCTTTCAATGTGAACGGCTTCACTCTTTGCTGATCCTGCTATAAACCTGCACGTGACAATTATCAATTCACATATAACAACAAAAAAAATAATGCAAGAAGTTTTAGGTCTATTTCTGCATATACTAATATAGAGTAACAGTTCAACAGATGGCAAATACAGCTTATTTTTAAAGTAAAAGACTTTCTTGCATGATCTGCACACTCTGTAGTCTCAGGCACGGCTCAACCTGCAATAACTGCAGAATACAGAGTAACTTGGAGTTTACTTTAAAATAGAATTTGGACAGTTAAGAGAAATAAACCTGAAAAACCTTGTTTAGCCCAGAATGCACACTGTGTCCAAATACACAGAAAATTAGCTAACACTGAATCCGGACTGTCATGTATAGGCTGTTACTAATACCAAAGTTACGGCTCTTCAGATGTAATAACTGTAACTGGAATTTTGTTTTTTCTAGAGCCAGTCAAAGGGATGGTTAAAGAAAGAGCCAGGTTAAAAACTTGACTTTCAGCCAGCTTTCTGTACATGCAAGAACAATTTTCAAATTAGGATAAAGCTTTACAAGCAACAATGTAAAAGGAATCAAATAGAAACAAATTCAACTCTTAGCACTTAAGCAGTGTTGCAGTTTAGTTCTGGGTTTTCTCAAAAAGAAACATCAACATGCACATCAAGACAAAAATTTATACCTGTGAGTATCTATGAAGTCATTATACTCAGAGTTTGGGTCTATCTGTTCAACCGAGGTCTGGATCTCTTTATGCACATTCACAATCTCTTCTGTTACAAGACTGGTGATCTGGCTATACTCATCCAAGATTCCTTTTCTAGAGAGGAAAAAAAATTCTAGTGTATAACATGGCACTGAAGGCATAGATGGCATTGAAGATGCTTCAAACTTTCAATTTGCTGTTTCTACAAACTCTTGTTGCAACTGGCTAAAAAGGGAAAAAATAAGACAATATATTACTCAAAGAAGTAACAGATCAATTTTGGCCTTCTCTTTACAGATTGGCTATGAGTGAGTGAGAGGTCTCTAAGATCACACTCCTTGTATTGATTTCAGTGCATCTACAGACAAGACAGCTAAACTAAAAACTGTAGAATCACAAGGAAAAGGAATGTATATAGCTTATTGATGACTCTCCTCTTCACAAAGGACTTACCAGGCTTGTTATGACCTACACTAGAGCTTTTCATGTTCTGATTGACAAAATAAATATATTATGGCATAAGGCAAAACGAGTCACAAAATAACAAAATACTGTGGATTTCCCTTAAAAAATGGTTTTCTTTATTGTTTTAACTATCTTCTTTCATACATTTATGACTTGTCATTCAGAAAAACATAAGCATAAATGACAAGTTAGTATATATTTACAAGAAGAAACAGAATCAAGAAAAAAGCTCCTGTAATAAAGTATAAGCAGCCCAGTGTTGTCTTAACCTGCTTCTGAGAGTGGGAAAAACCAAGGGAATAGGGAATGGTAAAAGAATGGGTGATATTGCGCCACTACTCTTAATACATCCTCAGAACACCCTCCTATTCTCTCTAACTTCTAGTTTTCCATAAGGGAACCTTCCTAATAATTTCCTAATTCCTGTTTATCTTTCAGAAAGTTGCTAGCTTACCAGGCTCTGAAGCATGGTGAGCTTTCTTAAAATACTGATGAATTTTGACCAGCCCAAAGGCACATGAAGAGAAAAAGGTATCAATAGATTTTTTTATGTCTTAAGCTGTGCTTTCTCTGTAAAAGCAGTTAAGTTATTGGATTTTTTTGAATAATTTTTCTGAGGACAAAACAGACAAGAGAAGGCCCTAAATCCTGCCCTGCCTGTGAAGAAAATGTGTGAAAAGATTCCAGAAAATAGTTCAAAGAGCATGATGAAAAGAAAGGCGAATGTTAACTACTGCAATGCCATACTGAAGAGAAAGGGAATAGATGTCAATTATCAAAAAATAAAAATAAAAATAAAATAATTAGGAATGTTAATTTACACTTCTTCAGGTTTGCCAGACTAATTCATCTGAAAAATCAGGATTATTAAGGAAGTATGTTTCCCACCAATGGGAAGCTCTATACCTGAAATCACCACCTCTTCTTGTACACCAAAGATACTAGAAAGGAGTAATTTTCTTACATTCATATTACATTAATTACAGTAATTTTCTTCAATTCAGAATTACATTCAGATCTCACAAAAAATTTCTAGGGAGTGACAAGAATATTTTTTACAGACATAGCAAAGGTGAGTCGATGCAAGAGGTTCTTGGCCATTATAAAATCCTTCAGTGAATCATCATATCTCATTATTCTGAAAAATCCACTTAATTACAGCACACAAATTTAACTGTAGCCTTTTGCTGTGATTTTACATAAAAAATTTACATTAAAAGGACTGTAATATAAATATCTATTTCATTTCAATAGCTGCACCAGGTATCTGGTGATGCTACATAGGCATCTGTATGACACTGCATAGGTCAGTTAATGGTGTCTGCACCACTGAAGCACGTAAACCATGAAATGCCCAACTCTTCCTCACTTCCTGTGTGCTGAAGTCAGGAAAAGTGCAGGATCCTGCACCTGGGGAAGAAGAATGTTAGGCATCAATACAGGTTAGGCATGGACCTGCTGGAGACAAGCTCTGAGGAAAAGGATCTGGGGGTCCTGGTGGACAACAAAATGACAATGAGCAAGCAGTGTGCTCTTGTGGCCAGGAGGGCCAACAGAATCCTGGGCTGCACAGGGAGAAGTGTGGCCAGTAGGTCAAGGGAGGTCATTCTGCCCCTCTACTCTGCACTGGTGAGGCCACAACTGGAATACTGCATCCAGTTCTGGGCTCCCCAGTTCAAGAGGGACAGGGAACTACTGGAAAGAGTCCAGCGAAGGGCTACAAAGATGATTCAAGGATTGGAGCATCTCCCTTATGAGGAGAGGCTGAAAGAGCTAGGACTCTTTAGTCTGGAGAAGAGAAGGCTGAGGGGAGACCTTATCAACGCCTACAAGTATCTTAAGGGCGGGCTGAGGGAAGAGGGAACCAGACTCTTTTCAGTAGTTGCCAGTGAGAGGACAAGGGGCAACGGGCACAAGTTGGAACATAAAGGGTTCCACTTGAATATGAGGAAGAACTTCTTCACGGTGAGGGTGACGGAACCCTGGAACAGGCTGCCCAGGGAGGTTGTGGAGTCCCCTTCTTTGGAGATTTTCAAGACCTGCCTGGATGCAGTCCTGAGTAACATGCTCTGACAAGCTCTGGGTGGTCCTGCTTTGGCAGGGGAGTTGGACTAGATGATCTCTATGGTCCCTTCCAACTCTAAAAAATTCAGTGAAATTCAATGAAATTCAGTGAAATTTGGAAAAAGTAAGTGAATGAGTTAAAGAAGAGTGCCTCACATCTAAATGAACAATACCTACCAAAAAAAAAATGTAACTGCCTTTTCCTTTAGGCTAAGTGATTTAAATAACACTCCAGAAAAAGACCTACAGAATAGACCACCTAACCAACTCCCATTCTTCAGGAAAGACAGAGGCAGCATGGTGATTAAAAACCAGCAAAGAGGGCTTAAAGTCCACATTGTCCGTTCTCAGAGATCATCAGTTTGCACACCTGTAATAATGTAAATTGTATTTTTAAGGTTGGATTCCTTACAATGAGATCAGGTTTATCCTGTTCCTGCTACTTCTCCCACACATATAATTAACAACATATGTGCCTGGCCATCCTCCACGATGACTTTTAAGACATTTGGCCAGTTTAGATCAACTTTGTTGCCGGCAGAATTTCATAAAAGTAAGACTACCAGAGAGGCAACAAACTTTTCATAGTACACCAGCTGAAGGACAAAGCGTGAGTGAGGCTATAGACGCTGCAGTTAATCTGTAAGATTTAAAAGTTTTATGAGAAGATGGTGTCTTGCTAGAATGTTTAAGTGACCACTAAAAATCACTGTCTGCATTATTTGGATAGACTTTTCTATGCACAATTACTGTCAATTGAAAGATGAAAGTACCTTTTTTCATTATCCCTTTATATACAATCAATTAAGCACAGTTTATTATCCTAAAATAATCCTATAAATTAATTAAAATACTATACATATAAAATTCCACAAATTAAGAAATTATAAAAATACATCTTACAGGGCTTTAATCATTTCTTCTTGCATCTTCTGTAGTGAATCAAGTAATAGAGGAAGCGTAGTATCATAATACTGGTGCTGGTGTAACTGTGCTCCTTTCAGTGCCAACACATACTGATTATGCAACATATGAAGCTTCATGGTAGCCTTATCACACCGATCTTTGGCTTTCTCAGTCTCCTTTCCTAAGAAAAAAACAAAAAAATGAAAAATGCATGTGGTGATTTGAAAGTATACAAACTTGTAGATGAAATAAATCTAGTAGATTTATGATAAATTTCCACCTTTTTCAACAAGAATCTTTTCAAGGTACTTAGTAGCAAAAATCTGCTGTATTTTCTTTGAGAAGAAATGTGACAATTCTTGATCTAAAGTATATGAAAACCACAGTCTAGACAGGTATAAAAATAATATAGCTATGAAGAATAAAGACCAAAACTCTTACACAGCTAATTTTTTAACGAAGAAAGTAAGAGATGTCCTACTAGGTCAAATCCATGATTCATTAAATATCTGTCATTTATTGTGAGCAAAAATTGTATTGCTACTTATCATCCCAATAAATCACTGGTGCAGCCTACATAAAATTAGCTGAATTCTCACACTGTTACTCCTGTCCGAAACAGGAAGCTTCTCTACTACAACTCAACATTTCCTTGTCACTGTCAGTATCGTGATCAGGAGGTTGGCTCCACAATTTCAGCTTTACACTAGTAGAGGCTACAAGTCCTCAAGTTAATGCTGATAACAGCAGTTCAGTGCTGACCCTGAGAGGTCATCTATCCTATTCTTTGCTACAGTAATTGCACAAATATGTGGCATATGCTACGATTTTCCTAAGATCTTCAATGACAGATAGGTAACTTTGCAAACTCCTAGTACCACTCAGGTCTAGTGCTATGCTAGCTGAAAGCAAACCCCCACCTCCCTCCCCTTTCATCCTCCATGTAAATCTTTGTTGCTTTAATTTAAAACCTCACTTACTTCATATGTGCCATGCATATAAAAAATAGATTCTACCATCCTCTGCAATTCATCTCTTACATAATAAATACTCTTCTCTTCTGCCCAATCTTCTAAAATTTTTACTAATGGACCTACAGGTCTTCTATTGTAAGTCCTGTTGTCTTTTTGCAGTTGACTAGTTCACAGTTTTATACAAGTGCAACTTCAGTCAAGGCTCAAAGCCAAAGTATAACCACGCACTCCACATACTTCTAGCTTATTTAAAAAGAAAAAATAGAAAGGGAAAAAAATAAGTGGCTTTTTTGAATACCATACAAACGTGGTATCACTGATTACTTGATTTGTTTTGTTTTGGCATCCTGTCAAGTAATGCTATCTTTCTGAGATTCATTTCTCAGTTTATCAAATCATTTTTACCTCTACAGCTGCCCTTCAGTGCACTTTCAATCCCTTCAAGGCATAATGATGCCTGGGAATTTTAATAAACAAAATCTGAAACAAAGTAATGAAACAGTGAAAGACCACCCAAATCTACTGTCACCGTATATCCTGCAATGTCCCATAAGACACATTATTCTGACAGGACCTCATTAACAATCTTTCTCCAAGCAGCTTTATGCAAAGTTTTGCACTTCTACTACAATTCTTTCAACTTGATCATGCATTGCCCTTGTCATAATAGGATATGAGATTAGTTTGACATGATTCCTTACTGAGACACATAAGCTTGTACTCATATCCTTGTTATCTTCTTGATATTTATGAATCATCTCACTACTTTTTCAGGAATAGGGGCGTTTTAAATGAATCCCATATCTGTAATTATCAAGTGGAGATTCACTATCACCTGCACAGATAAGCATACACTAACTAAACCAATCTCATTCAGACTGCTACATTTCTTATAATCTTAAAATAATTTAACTAATAAAATGGATTGGATTTATTATTTCCACCACCTATTGCAAAGTAGTTGAGAAAAAAGGAAAAGGAAGCACTCATAGCTAAATGGCAGAACAGAAGCAGATCTTGAAAAGCTGAACTTGTGTCATAGGAGGAACACACAGATCAATCTCCTTCCTCTGAGGTATTAGAAGAAGAGGTTAGAGAATAAATGAAATAAGAAGAAATTATGAGAATTGGATGGTGTTTAGCTTTGTAACTTTAAAGGAACTTGAAATAATTTTAGCTGAAATGTCATTAGCAGGTGGAAGCAGGCACTCAGTGGAGTGCCCCAGGAATATCAGTTGGGTCCTGATACATGAGGTCATAAAGATAATGATGAAGACACTGTCTGAAGGGAGCAAACACGGGAACCAAATGCAAAGAACTGGAAAAAAACCTTAAGATGTACTGATTAAATTAGAAAATGGCAAATTATAGTATGAATAGAGATGCATATGGGGAAAAAACTTTTCAAGCTTAGTAATCTGTAGGAATGAGATCTTGGGGTTAGTACAGAAAGATCAATGGAAATGTTAACCCTGTGTTCAGTAGATGTCGAAGAAGATGTTATTTAGCAAAGGACTAGACAGTCTTCTTATGCCACTGATTAAATCCACATAAACCAGTATGCGGTTCTTCTACCTCAAGGACATGTTTGAAACGAACAAGGTTTAGAGAAGGGCATCAAGCATTGAAAGATACGAAACACAAGGAATCCGGAAGGAATGATGAAAATGAGGATTCCTGAAGCACAAGGACACTGAGAAGCAACATGTGAGAAAGGACACACACAGAGTTAACAGACCTTCCCAACCTCTTCCAATGTAACAACTGTAAGGCATTATATGGAAATTGCATGTACTTTGTTAAAAAAAAAAGGCATTCTCCTTCAATTAGCGTGTAGCTAGCCTATGCAATCTTTTGGTCAAAGTTACTATAAGCATGAAAAGCTTATCAGGTTTAATAGTCAGTGGATGTGTAGACAAAAAAAAACCCCTGAAGAGCTACTAAGAAGTAAGAAAGACAGCACTTCGGACTCAGGAACTCCTTTGGTAACAAATTACCATGAAGGTGAGACAGCTGTCTATCTGTCTGTCCCGTGACAGGGCTCTCCAGACATTCACTACCTTACTACTGTCAGCTACATTTTAAACACAGAGTCATAAAAATCACTTCAAAAGGATATTACGTCTGTCATTTAATTGTAAACAATGTAACTACTGACCTAGTTTTATACATGGGAGGAACAGATTTCTTACACTATAGTTTAGCTAAATGAGCAAAGTAACCGTGCACAACAAAGACTAAACATCTCCAAAGCTGTCACCAGAGAAGTATTTTTCATTTAGTTATGAATTAAACAATCCACTCTAGAAATCTCTGTAAAACTGTTTTGGAGTGGTAATAATCTCAACTCTATCTAAAACTTTTTGCCAGAGGTAACAGGTTTTAGTTTTGGCAAACAATCACAGCTCGTGTTTCGTGGGAAGAGTGTAATTTTTTTTACTTCCCCAAAACAAAAACATTGCATTACTTACTTCTAAATTTAAAATAGATCTCAAATGGAGGAAAAAAAAAAAAACAAAACCAAAACAAAACTAACTAAAACAAAACAAAACAACACATCACACCCAGAATAACATCCCAGAAGTTAGATGCCACTGAACATCAGCATGTCTGACACCAGCTTAACAATATAATGGGATGGTATATAATCCCATTCTTGCACCTGCCTTGAGGACTAAATTCCTTCTCTACACATAACTTTCCTTACAAGAACACCTCAACTACTTTCAGAATAAATCAAACTATCATACAGACTCGGTTTCCATATACAGTCTGCTACATTGTTGACCTGGTTGCTCGCAGACCAAGACATACACACTATACGGTCTTTCTGGAAAATGAGAGGCATATGAACATGGGGAAATAACAGAAGGTGACTGAAGAGGGTTTGGAGGAGAAGAGGTCAAGCGGTAGTTACCATATAGTGACTGGAAGAAAGATGAGAAAAGCTGTAAGTCAGAGCTGGAAGCACTAAGTTATGCTTGTCCTGGCCCATTCCCTTGGGAGATACACTGGCCAGGGAAACAGGAAGAGGGAGATGAGGCACTAGCTGAGGAAGAAATGCTGGATTATTTCTTCAGTTTATTGTCTTTTTGGCTGCTCCTATTCAAGCACATCCCAGATTTTATAATCTAAAATTAGCTGCATATGTCACAGTTTAAGATCTTAAAGCCTACAAATTGTCCACACCTGTCTTTAAGATATATCCCCCACCAGCCTTCAGCTTACCAAAAATCATCATATACCAAATTATACTGTGTAACATCATACAGGCTTCTGACTTATGAACCACAACCAACAGCCTTCAACAGTTAAACTAAACTGAAAATTTACACTAAAAATGATCACAACCACGTAACTAGAGACTTATCAATACTCTCTCTTTCAGAAACCTCATTAATGACTAAACTATCCCATTTTTCCATCTGCCTTAAGGACTAAAATCCTTGGCTACACATTATGCCTCAGCAAAGTACCTCAACTAATTGCAAAATAAATCAAATTATCATATACATTCAACTTTTAAATACAGTCTTTGGACCTATAATTAATACAAGAAACACAGCTATAGAGTTACTTCCATATTGTAATTTATTTTTTAAAGCAGCAAAATGCAGTGAGGCAGAGTACAGAGTTGTTCTACATGTCAATTAGCACACAGGAAAACATCCAGTTTTCTTTATCCGTATAATGAATCTCATAAATAGATCTAATTATAATTCTACTGCCATCAGTTGTTGACAAAGCTGTTTAATGTTTATAGAAACTGACTGTGTATACAATATGTCATGCCACAAACAGTATTATGAATTCTGCAAAATTCAATTATGAAAGTTTGACATTTGCAAAGAAAAGGCTGGCATTCTTTTTAAAACATTCTAGAGAGTCAAATATTTCGATTTCTAATAAAAATTCCATTAAGATTTTACTACATACAGTACAACAGAGCCATCTGGAAAAAATGTTTTAGGGTATTTTCTATTTAAAAGGCAGATTTGCTATTCAAAAGATCTTACAACTCTAAGTATTAGTTTCTTGTAGCCTAATATTCACCTAGAATGAAAGAACAGAAACTGGATAGGGAAACCAACTGAGACCTACTGGGAAAAATTTCAGCTCACAATGCTCACTTCATCTTTTTTTTTTAAAATAAGCATCAATGTACAATGCAAATGTCTCAAAGAAACTGACTTTCAGAAAACAAATA